TTTTTTTTTTTTTTTTTTGAGACGGAGTTTCGCTCTTGTTACCCAGGCTGGAGTGCAATGGCGCGATCTCGGCTCACCGCAACCTCCGCCTCCTGGGTTCAGGCAATTCTCCTGCCTCAGCCTCCTGAGTAGCTGGGATTACAGGCACGCGCCACCATGCCCAGCTAATTTTTTGTATTTTTAGTAGAGACGGGGTTTCACCGTGTTGACCAGGATGGTCTCGATCTCTCAACCTCGTGATCCACCCGCCTCGGCCTCCCAAAGTGCTGGGATTACAGGCTTGAGCCACCGTGCCCGGCCTTGCTTGTTTTCATTTTATGGCCAGGTGGCGGAAGGGAGGGGGAGCTGCCCAGGAGTCTCTGGAATCCACACCTGCTCAACCGGTTCCTTCTGGACAGTCACTGCTCCAGTCTCCACCCCTCACCGGAAAGCCACTGCTCCGTCCAGGCCACCGAAGAAAGAGCTGCGTGGCCTTGGCCTTCGGCGTGGAAGACACAGGCTCTAAACAAAGTGTATGCTTCTCTCCTGTCCCCATGCAGCATCCTCCCCCGAGGTCAGGACACAGAACCGATACCGACAAATGGGAACCCTGCAGTTACAAACTAACCCATTTAACTCTCCCAATGGCCCCATGAGTAAATATGACGCTGCCCCCCTTCCACAGACAGGAAACCCCAGCAAAGTGGCCAGCAACCGACTCCAGGTCAAGGGAGAGGAAGTCAGGCCCCATCCCGGTTTCTGGATTTTTGTGGTTTTTTTTTTTTTTTTTTGAGACAGAGTTTTGCTCTTGTTGCCCAGGCTGGAGTGCAATGGCGCGATCTTGGCTCAATGCAACCTCCACCTCCTGGGTTCAAGTGATTCTTCTGCTTCAGCCTCCTGAGAGTAGCTGGGATGACAGGCACGCGCCACCATGCCCGGCTAATTTTGTATTTTTAGTAGACATGGGGTTACTCCATGTTGGTCAGGCTGGTCTCGAACTCCTGACCTCAGGTGATCCGGTCCACCTCGGCCTCCCAAAGTGCTGGGATCACAGGCATGAGACGCCAGCACCCGGCCTCCATCCTGGTTGTTAACCACTGCAGGGCCCGCCCCTCCCAAGCCCTGAGGGTGTCCCCAGCCTCTACTTCCCCAGCCACAACACGCTGGTTTATGACACCCATTTGAGAGAGTTGCTCAGCTAGGTCCTCTCTGCCTTCCAGGGACACAGAAATCTGAACACAACAGGCTGTCAGAAGCTCCAGGGAGACTCCCTGTGAAGGCAGCTGGGGCAGGACTCTGGAGCAGGGCAGGACTCTGCAGCTACACCCCACACATGCTCCTGCAAGGGTACCCTCACCCACGGAGCAGGCCCCAGAGGGGCTCCCTCAAGTGCACCTCAGCGAGCCCGGGGAAGCATCTGGATACACGCGGTGCACCTTCCTTGAGCGACAGTTTTAATCAAGGGACCAAGGGGAAAAGGTGAAATAATATGGAAAGAAATGGAAAATATCTATTTCCTTTTTTTTTATGAGACGGAGTCTCACACTGTTGCCCAGGCTGGAGTGCAATGGCACCATCTCGGCTCGCTGCAACCTCTGCCTCACCGGTTCAAGCAACTCTCATGCCTCAGCCTCCCAAGTAGCTGGGATTACAGGTGCTCGCCACCATGACCGGCTAATTTTTTGTATCTTTAGTAGAGGTGGGGTTTCACCACGTTCACCAGGCTGGTCTGGAACTCCTGACCTCGGGATCTGCCCGCCTCTGCCTTCCAAAGTGCTGGAATTACAGGCGTGAGCCACCGCGCAGGCCGGAAAACATCTATTTTCTCTCCCCATGTTAATTTCACATAGATTTGAAGGGTAGTCACTGGCAGGCTCCGAACGGCGCCAACTTCCACCAGCCACCAGCTCCCCCGTGGGAGGCGCACCTCAGTGCCCTGGGAGGTGGCCCAGCACAGTGCGTGTGGGAGGAGGGTGGGGACGCTGCAGCTACAGCACAGCTGGCTTCGAAGCCTGGCTCTCCAATCACTAGCCATGCGACCTTAACCCTCCTTGCCTGCTTCCTCATCTGTGAAAGGGGCAGTAACGTGAGTCCCCGCCTCAGGACGTGAGCAAGGAGTCAGCAGCTAAACGTGCGGGAAGGGCATCATGGCCATGTGGTGACCACCATCGCCATGGGGAAGAACCGCCAATGGCTCCTTTTGCAAATGAGGAGGCTGAGTGCCCCAGAGGGAGAGTGACCTGCCCAAAAACCAGGTCTCCTGACTCATTCACCCTCTCTTGCTCACTCTCATGTGGCCCGTGCCTCAGTTTCCCTATCAGTAAAATGAAGGTAAAATCAGGGAATGGAATGGGTTTTTTTTCTTTTCTTTTTACTTATTTTTTAAGAGATGGGGTTTCTTCATGTTGGCCAGGCTGGTCTCGAACTCCTGACCTCAGGTGATCCGCCCACCTCGGCCTCCCAAAGTGCTGGGATTACAGACATGAGCCACCACGCCCAGACTGGGATGGGTTTTTCAAAATGAGGTGAAAGATTCTGCCAGGCACCTCCAGGACCTGAGTTCCCTGCTCTCATCTCTTTAACCGAAGCTGCCTTAATTTAACCCCATCACCTACGCGTGCCCATGAGCGGCTCAGCCTGGAACTGCCTTATTAGGTGGATGGCAGGATGTGCCAGGCATGTTTAAGTCAGGTAAGTGTCAATGACTCAGCTGGGCTCGGTGGCTCACTCCTGTAATCCCAGCACTTTGGGAGGCTGAGGTGGGTGGATCACCTGAGGTCAGGAGTTGGAGACCAGCCTGGCCAACATGGTGAAACCCCATCTCTACTAATACAAAAATTAGCTGAATGTGGTGGCAGGTGCCTGTAATTAATCCCAGCTACTAGGAAGGCTGAGGCACCAGAATCACTTGAACCTGGGAGGCAGAGGTTGCGGTGAGCCAAGATCGTGCCATTGCACTCCAGCCTGGGCAACAAGAGCTGAAACTGTGTCTAAAAAAAAAAAAAAGTTTTGGCTAGGCGAGGTGGCTCAAACCTGTAATCCCAGCACTTTGGGAGGCCGAGGCGGGTGGATCACGAGGTCAAGAGATCGAGACCATCCTGGTCAACATGGTGAAACCCCGTCTCTACTAAAAATACAAAAAACTAGCTGGGCATGGTGGCGCGTGCCTGTAATCCCAGCTACTCAGGAGGCTGAGGCAGGAGAATTGCCTGAACCCAGGAGGCGGAGGTTGCGGTGAGCCGAGATCGCGCCATTGCACTCCAGCCTGGGTAACAAGAGGGAAACTCCGTCTCAAAAGAAAAAAAAAAAAAAGTTTCAATGACCCAATGAAGTTATCCAAGTAAATTGCCACCACCTGCATTAGGCATTCCACGGACTTTCCCACCTGTAACTCAAGCGAAGTATCCCTAGCCAGTGCATGCCAAGCCCTTCCCGTCCACCTCCCATCCACCTTCCAGCTCAATGGCCACCTCCTCCAGGAAGCCCTCCCTAAGCTCCCACAAGTCCTTGGCTTCTCTCCATCGCACAGAAGCCAGACTCTGGGACCCTGAGGGCAGGGACCAGCCAGCTGACTGTCCAGAGAATTAGCTGGGCTCAGGCCCGCATTCCATACCCCTCTTTGCCCTACCGCCCTCACCTGTGTTGGTCCGGGGAATGGTTAAGTCAGCGAATCAGAACAGGAGCCCACAAACAGGATCCCACAGCTGCCAACAGGGAGGCCAATCAAAGGCGAAGGGCTTCTGTGTCCAGTTCTCAGCTGGACAAATGTCAACACCGCACTTCACAGGCCAGCGAGGGATGCACGGAGCCCTCCGGAGTCCACACAGCCGCTTCCACAAAACCCCTAAGTGGGTGGTGGCCAAGGCGCTGTCCCCACCCCGCCAAACGATCCCACCCTCCTGCCCCCGGGCGGACTGCGTGGTTCCTCCCGAGGCCTTCACACTCCTCCCCAGGCGGCCGGGAACTTCCAGGCTAGGGTGTGGCAGAGCCCGGGGCGATTCTCAGGAGGTCCCCCGGGATTGAGGGACAGGGAACGGCAGGAACTCCCCGCGCTGGGGGGCTCCAAGGCGGCTGGTGGCTCGGTTTAAAGTCCGTGCTTGTAACTCCTGGGAGTTCCACTCCGCGTGTCGAACCGCCCAGACCCCAGGCCCTGAGTTTGAATCAACACAGCACCTGCCCCGGCCTCTGTTTTCTCCTTTGTGAAACCAGAATGACTCCACCTACCTCGGGTTTGGTGTGAGGGACCTTTCGGGGGGTGCTGTCCCAGGCACTGACCGGCCCAACCTGAGACCCCAAGGGAGCACTGGAGCTGACACAGTCAGCTTCGCCCCCCAAAAAAACTAGCCCCCTCTACGGAAAGCTCACAGCCCTGGGTGTGACCACCTGAGTCAGGCCTCTCAGCAGCCACAGAGCTTCACCTTGTCACTAACGTCCTTCAACTGAAGCACCCACGACAGGCTTCTCCCCTATACCAGGTTTGCATTCAGCCACAAGTCCCCGCTCAGCCCCGCTCAAGCCCGTTCACAGGCCAGAATCTGGCCTCGCCTCTACCAGACCTAAGGAGACGGGAAAGGTCTACACCAAAGCCCAGCTCACAGACCCGAACGTCAGCCTCCATGGCCGCAGCCTAAGCAAACCCTCCCCCCTCCCCCTCATTCCGTCCATTCTCACCCTGCTGCTCATTATCCATTACCCCGAGTGTTTTCCGTTGCAACATAAACACGAACGAATCACGACCGGACCCGAGCAAAACACGGGCAGAGAGAGGCGAGGGCGCGGGGAGGCGCGCCGGGCGAGGGGGGACCCGACGGGGCGGGGGGCGGGGAGGGAAACCCGGGGGAGGGAGGGGGTCTGCAGTCCGCCGGGACGCGGAGGCTGCGCGCCCTCCCCAGGGCCGCACGTGGCGTCGCGCCCGCCTGGGCGTCCCCACCCCGGCCACGGGCCCCTCGTCCCCGCGCGCGCCGCCCCACCCGGGGCCCGGCTCCCTCCCTGCGCGCTCCCCCCGCGGGCACCCGCCTTACCCGGCCGCGGACCCCGCCGGCCCCACCTGCAGCGCCGGGTCCTCCGCTCGCCGGGCCCGCCCCGGACGTGGCTCCCGGGCAGGCCCCGCCCCGCCCCGCCCCTCCGCCCGGGCCACCTGGCGGGAACGCAGCCCCAGGTGCCAGGGCCGACCCGGGGTCCACCTGGGTGTGGGGGGCGGGGGTAACAGGGCGGGGGCCGGCGGCGCACGCGCGCTCAGGAGCCCCTCGCACCGCGCACCCGGGGAGCCCCGATTCCCGCCCGGGCTGCGTCCCCCTCCCACCAGGCACCCCTGTCTGGGGCGGGCACTGTCTTGCTGGTCCATTTCCCCGTTTTTAATTTTTTTATTTTTACTTGTTTTTGAGACGGAGTTTCGCTCTTGTTACCCCGGCTGGAGTGCAATGGCGCGATCTCGGCTCACCGCTACCTCCGCCTCCTGGGTTCAGGCAATTCTCCTGCCTCGGCCTCCTGAGTAGCTGGGATTACAGGCACGTGCCACCATGCCCAGCTAATTTTTTGTATTTTGAGTAGAGACGGGGTTTCACCATGTTGACCAGGATGGTCTCGATCTCTTGACCTCGTGATCCACCCGCCTCGGCCTCCCAAAGTGCTGGGATTACAGGCTTGAGCCACCGCGCCCGGCCCTTAACTGTTCTTATGATAATATGCGTTACCTCTCACCCATCCTGCCATCTGAACGGCTCTTCGGCTTCACCCCGACCCGCCATTGTAACTGAACTTGTGGTCACGTGTACTCCTTGCTCTACCCCACACCGCTGTAACTGATCTTACCCTGCAACACCCGCGCCCCCCCCAAAAAAACTACCCCAAGGCCGGGCGTGGTGGCTCACACCTGTTATCCAAGCACTTTGGAGGCCAAGGCGGGCGGATCACCCGAGGTCGGGAGTTCAAGACCAGCCTGACCGACATGGTGAAACCCCGTCTTTAAAACAAAAACAAAAACAAAAAACTACCCCAACCTATAAAGCCAATTCCCACCTTACCCCCTTCCCCTGTCCTTTCTCGGATTTGGCCCGCTTGCACCCAAGTGAGAAATAAAACGGCCTTCTTGCCCACACAAAGCCGGTTTGGAAGATCTCTTTATTAATGCATTTAGTATTCAGTACGATTGGACGCGAATAACATCAAACAGTTCACTGCTCTCCGAACAGGACAAGGAAGTCACCATGTCTTATTCCAGCAATGTACACACACTTGATGGCTTTCATCTGGCGCTGGTGAAGGGCTCTCTTTTCCTCTTGTGGAACGTCAACCTCTTTTGTATTACCGGTGTAAGATCAGGCCCTCGTGAAAGGGGGACAATTTGCAGAGTTTCTGTAAAAAGCGACTTTGGACTGGAGTAAAGGAAAACACCCCCTCGTCACTCTACGGCTGGCAGAATAATTTCACAGTATTAAGAGATGTCGGGGGAATAGACCACCCTCCTTGCATTTGTGTTTTGTGAAAATCTCATACAAATTTCACAACCGTAGCTTAGCGACATTAAAATACATACAATAAAGCAACAATACTGAATGATTGTGTGGCAAAGAATGCAGGTGTGTTCCGACATTCACACTCAAAGGAGAAACGAATACAAAGCGCTCTGCAACAGGGCTGGCTCCCTTTTCCAGTTTTCTTCTGTTTTTCCCAAGCACTGTTTCATCAGTAATCAACCAGTTAGCCATTGCCTTTTGTTGCTATCACAATAACCCGTTGCATTTCAAACGCCTTGCAATAGAAAAGAAAGAATCATCATGCAAAATAAAGGAATTACCTCTGAATGGTATTATTCTCAGCTTTATTAAATTTGCTCTTACTAACGTTTATGAAGTCAGAGGGTTGGTTCTTCCGCAAGCAGCAAATTCCACATTAATAAGCGCTTGGGGATGAAGAATTTCAAGGAGGAGGGAATGAATAAAAGATCTGTGTCCAAGCTTTTGGGCTTCACATTTGTTTTCTCCCAAATTAACTCAGCCTGCCAGCTGCTTGAGCTAAGACTTGGCCTGCTTTTAACCTTATTAAAACCATGAAGCCAACATTACCCACCCCCACCATTGCCCCCTCTGGGGGGTATGACTGCCGGGTTAGGGCAAAAGGGACATAGAAGATTATCTTCCAACCCTCTCCCTTTACGGGCCAGGATCCTGGGAGCCAGTTGATTACGGGGCTTGCTTTCTCCGTGTATCCAGGCCCAGAACTCCAGCCAGGTTCCCTGATGCAAAGTCCTTTGAACTGACAGCACCATGGGCTACACCATAGTTAGGCCTTGGCGAGCCCTGTGACCCGCACGTACACCTCCAGATGGTCTCCTGGAGCCGGAAAGTCCGAGGTAACAGGAAAACTGCAAAAGAGGAAGAATCTGCTAGTTCCTGCAGCACCTGATTAACCAACCCTGCGACAAGCTGCCATCGTTCCTGCCTCAACTGATAAGCTAACCTTGTGACATTGGCCCCTGTGACAACCCCCCCAGCTTGCAAAAACCACCCTGAACTGTAACTTTCCACTGCCTAAGCTGACCCTAGAAAACCAGCTCCTATCCCACCACGCTCACTGACCCTCTTTTCAGATTCAGCCTGCTCGCACCCGAGTGGATAAGCAGCCTTGCTGCTCACACAAAGCCTGTTTAGGTGGTCTCTTCATTCAGAACGTGCTTAACACCTGACCCCTGCGGGTCTACCCCTCGCCCTGGTCCCGTGTCAGAGCGAATGCAATGTGTGGTTAGTACCCCCTGCAAACTGAAGATGCCTGCATTCTCCACCGTGTTCTCTGGGATCTTTGGGTCTAATAATGAAAACCTCTCTTGATTCGCCACTGAGGAGGTCATGCTCCTGCTCCTCTGGTTGACAGCAGGGTGGGTGCCAATCTTGTGCACCGACCTCCCCACCCCTCAGGTGCCTTTACCATATTGGCACTCCCGACCTTACAGACATCTCACAGCCCCAAGGTGGCCTGACGACGGGTTTACCCGGCTCCTTTGCCACCAGGGCCCAGACAGTACAGGCTGCACCACTGTGATGTCCACCCTAAGACAGGAGGCTGCCCTAGAATTCGTAACCAGGAGAGGGTGGCTTTGGCAACGCCAGGCTTGGGTAGCGAGGGAGGACACAGTGGCTACAAAGTGAAGTGACTGCGACACAGTGAGCACTGGTGCTGGTGGCAGTTGGGTTCGGTCCAGTGTAACTGGGGCGTCTCTGTGTCAGGGGGAGCAGCAGTGCAGTGGGGACATCCTTGCGTGATGGAGCCTGTGCGTGGGGAGCAGCTGTGCAGTGGAATCATCCCCATATGATGAAGCCTCTGTGTGGTGGGAGCATCTGTGCAATGAGATTATCTGTGCCGTGGGAGCATCCCTATGGGATGGGCACCTGCCTGGGGAACAACTGTGCAATGGGAGTGTCTGTGCAGCGGGAGCATCCCCAAATGATGGGCACCTCTGTGGGGAGCATCTGCGCAAAGGGAGCATCCCTTGTATGATGGACGCTTCTCTGTGTGATGCGAGCATCTGTGCTGTGGGAGCATCCCCACAGGATGGAGCCTTCGCTGTGCGGTGGGAGCATCTGTGCTGTGGGAGTATCTGAGGGAGCCCCGCTGTGCGGTGGGAGCCTTCCCGGAGCAGTGGCTGCGGTGCTGGGTTCCCATCAAGGCCCGCTGTCGTGCAAGGCGATTTGGGACACTGGTCCTGGACGTGGGCCTGGCTCTCCCACCTCCTGACAGCCCTGGGAGCCGGCGACATTCTGCAATAACCTCGTCCGCGTCTGCCTCGGCCGCCTGCAGGTAGGAGCCCGCCTGCTCCCCTGTCCTCGTATTTTCCAGCCCCCGGGCCTCCTCCCGGCCAAACCCAGGCTGACGCGAATCCCCGCAGTGAGAAGAGAAACGTCACCATGAGAAATTCCTCTCGCAGATGCCGTCGATGAGAGTTTACATTTTTACAGCTTTTTACAGCCCGTGAGAGCAGTTCTGAGCGCTCTGCAAACCCATCAGTCGATGAGGGGAAGGGTTCTGGGGCTAAAATCATCCGTTTATTATTAAGCCATTGTCGCGTTCGGGTCAAAACCCAGTAAGTACGCGTCTGCCCGGTGCCTGTCCCGTGCACAGAGCTCCTTCGTCAGAGATGTCTGGTGTCTGGAGCTTACATTCTTTTTTTTTTTTTTTGAGACGGAGTTTTGCTCTTGTTACCAGGCTGGAGTGCAATGGCGCGATCTCGGCTCACCGCAACCTCCGCCTCCCGGGTTCAGGCAATTCTCCTGCCTCAGCCTCCTGAGTAACTGCGATTACAGGCACGCGCCACCATGCCCAGCTAATTTTTTGTATTTTGAGTAGAGACGGGGTTTCACCATGTTGACCAGGATGGTCTCGATCGCTTGACCTCGTGATCCACTCGCCTTGGCCTCCCAAAGTGCTGGGATTACAGGCTTGAGCCACCGCGCCCAGTCGGTGGAGCTTACACTCTTAACAGCCCTGCTCTGCATGTGAGTCCACAGGGCACACACAGGCAAAGAACCGGCCGGGGTCACTTCACAGCTGGGACGATCCTGGCTAGAGATGGGTGACCTGCCCAGTGTCACACAGTGCCCGATTTAGGGTCAGACCGTGGCAGACCTGGCTTTGCCCATGAAGGTGTATTACACGCATAAAACCTACAAGGAAATAGCCCATGATAGCCTTCCCCCGACTCGAGGACTCCACGATTCTAGAATACTGGGACACAGGAGTGTGGCATCCAGTCAAGTCTGGCTGTGCCGAGCAACAAGCACGTCTCAATCACACGGCCTTCCACCGCCACCACAGCCACACTTTTTTTTTTTTTGAGACAGAGTCTTGCTCTGTTGCCCAGGCTGGAGTGCAGGCTCACTGCAACCTCCACCTCCCTGGTTCGAGCAATTCTGCCTCAGCCTCCTGAGTCGGGATAACAGGTGTGCAACACTACGTGCGGCTAATTTTTGTATTTTTAGTAGAGACGGGGTTTCACCATGTTGGTCAGGCTGGTCTCGAACTGCTGACCTCGTGATCTGCCCAACTCGGCCTCCCAAAGTGCTGGGATGACAGG